TCTCTCTCTCTCTCTTCCTCTTTCTCCCTTCCACTCGATCTGAACAAAAAAAATGGAAAAATGTCCTCAGGTGAGGATAAAAAAAAAATTTACAAAAAATATAGAAAAATGTAAAGGAAAAAAAAATCACTTACACATGCATCATATTTTCCCTTCCAGACCTCTTCCTAAATATATATTTACATACATTTTAGAAAAATTGGTATCATACTTTATATTCTGTCTGGTATCCTGTTCTGTTAATGAGTCATTTCATCACATTACCAAATATTTTTAAATGATTTAAAAATTTCATTATTTAACTACCACAATATGTACAATCCACTACTGAAGGATATTTAGTGTTTTCACAATTTTTCTCCATCATAAACTCCTGTTTGTTTTTAAAAATTAAATCTGAATGCCACTGGTATTTTGCCATCATTCATAATATTAGCTGGTCATTATTTATTGGCTGCTTTGAAGATATACATTCTTTATCATATTTAGAGTATACCACTTCCTGGTATTCCCTGTTTACTAATAATTTGACAGTCAGAAATGGGTGTTGAGTATTTCAGAATCACTTGTTGCTCAGTCCAGAAATTTTAAGTTGTGTGTAACCTTTTTTTCTTTCGAACCCTCATACCCGACCATCAATTGATCCTGTCAGCTTGTGCTTCCCCACACACACAGAATCTGGCCACTTCTCTAGATGATTACAGCAGCCTCTACACCTTACCCTGCTTTTACCTTGACCTACATTCTGGTCTCTGCCACAGTAGCCATCCATTTTTTATGCTAACAATCTTCTATTTGATTCCATCTCGTTTCTTCGTCTACATGACTGTCTTCTTTGCTTCTATTGCTTGGACTTGAGCAGATCTACCATCCCCCACCCTCCACCCCCTTGCACATCCACTTAAAAATCATCTTGGTTTGCCTGGCAGGTGTGACTCGGTGGTTGAGCATCGACCCATGCACCAAGAGTTCACTGGTTCGATTCCTAATCAGGGCACATGCCCAGGTTGTGGGCCAGATCCCCAGTCAGGGGCATGGAGGAGGTGGCCAGTCAATGTTCTCTCTCATCGATGTTTCTCTCTCTCTCTGCTTCTCCCTTCCTCTTTCTAAAATCAATAAAGAAAAAAAAATTTTTTTAAATCATCTTGGCTTCCCTGCTGTCCTCAGTACACCAGGCAAGGTGGTGCCTCAGGGCCTTCACACTTGCTGTTAATTCTGTCTGAAATGCTTCTCTCCTTCACATCCACATAGCTAGCTTCCTCATCTTCCTTAGGATTCTGCTGGAATGTCACCTCAGTGAAGCCTTCTCTGATCATTCTATTTAAAATAGCGATTCCAATCACCCTTTCCTGCTTTATTTTTTTCCACAACTTTTATCACCATCTACCATCTAACATACTCTTTCTTTTTTTGTGCCTATATTCTGCCCATCTTTCTCCCATTAGCATGTGAGCTCCATGAGGGCATCCTTGGCACCAATGACAGTACCCGGCACATGACGCTCAGCTGATATAAACTGAACTCAACTCAAATATTTGTTGAATGAGGGACATTGTCATTTTTCTTGATGGGACTGGAGTTACTGACGTGATGTACTATAAAACTATATTTCATAATATTAAGCCACTCCCATACTTCTCAGATAAACTCTTTTTTGTCACACTGAAGAACTCTAAAAGTACTTTTGCAATTACATTTGGTTGGATTTTTCTAATCTATTTGCATAAGTGATGTTTGTATTATGGTTTTCTTATTTTGTTCTTTCTTTCTTTCTTTATTTTGAGGATTCGCTATCAAAGTCATCTTGGCTTCATAAAATGAAGTGGGCGGTTGTTCATCCTTTCCACTGTTTCTCCAACAGCACGCAGCGCACGCATGGTGCCAATTATTTGTTTGTTGAAAGTATGAAAGAACACACGAGTAAAACTCTTTGGTCCTGAGAATTTTTTTGATAGGTAATTTTTTAAATTGTATATTCCAGTTTCTTTTATGGTTAATGATATTTTGAGGTTTTCAGACTTTTCAGGATTTATGTGTTTCCAAGAAAGACTACTTCAAAGAAATGTTCTAATTTATAATAATAAACTTGTTTTTGTTGTTATCTTATATTTTAAATGTCTCTATATCTAGTGTTATATTTTTATTTTCATTAGCAGTTTTCTTTAAATAGTTTTCCTCCTTTGTCTCTGTGAGAAATTTCAGAGGCTTCTGTATCTTATTTTTAATTAAAATCGTTCAATTAAAATTATTTAAATTCTATTAGTAATCTATTAACCTAACAGTAGTAACAATCTACTTAAAATTCAAACGTAGCAATAACCATATTTCTAAATAAGGAGCATATATGGTATTCTCTACAATCCCCCTGAATGTATAAAGTATTGCTCATTTAATAAAACAAGTTAATTGCAGCTTTTCTTGTCCTTATTATTTAAAGTCTAAACCATGTATGTTCATGTAGCTCTTCTTGTAGGTGTATGAATCCACTTGTCATTTTTACTTTTTTTTTATCTGGGTTTCTGGCCTTGAGATTGTATTGAATTTTTGTTCTCCTTTCTTTATGGATTTCCTCATAAGTTTTTTTTCTAAAAAGCCTTTATTCCCGTCTTCCCCTTTGCTCCCAGTTTTCCTATCCATGACTTTCATCTAGACCCATCTATTTCTTCTCCTTTTCCTTTAGACCATCTAATGCTATATTGTAACACCTAGCTCCAGGTATCAGTATCTTAACTAGCAGAGTTTACCTAATTAGAAATTGTTTTTGAAACGTGGGCTTCTGGGAAAGCATCATAGTGTCTTTGAAACTAATGGGATCTTGAGTGCCTACTTAGTTCAAAGCAGGTACTAAAGACTAAGGGAGGAGACACGGTTCTGTTTCTTCTCGATGACAGCATAGCCTTTTGGGTGTCCTTACTGCTAGTCTCTGCCTTCCAGCTCCCCCACCCCATCTAACCATCCCCACTTCCCCACACTCTGGTGGGAGTGACCCCTCTTGCGCTCTACAATGCCTACAGTGTCGTTTAAGGTCACGGACTGTCAGGCACTCATTTGCCTGTTGGAACTTACTTTCTGCAGCCCCCGAATGAGCTATACTGTAAGGAGAGCGGATTTTACTATATTTTGCTGTTTCCTTTAGCCAGAGTTTATCTCTGTCCTCAGAATTCCTATAATCACTTTATTTATATTTCTATAATTGAACTTCCCATGGTCTACCTTGTATCTTCTCATGCCTTTCTCCTTGACTAAAGTATCAGCTTAATAAGGGCCAGGAGCATCTCTTCTCTTCTTTTGATCCCCATTTTGTCAAATGGGACCATTCGGTAAATGTTTTTCAACTGAGCTGAATGTTATGCCAGACAGAATTAGATATATTGCCCTGACTAGCTGGAGTTGTCAAGAACAGATTAATTAGGGCTGCAAAATCAAGACAGATATTTACAAGCAGAGAAATCTAGGAGGGTGGGGTTGGGGGGAGTAGCTGGCGTGGAAATAAACGCCAGAGCCTGGAGGGACCTTTTCTTTTTGGGCACAAGGTGGCAGACTATGCCCATTTCAATCACGGCATATAAGGCAGCTTTGTGAGGCTAAAATTTTCTGCCCTATTTTGGAAATGTATGTTTATTTAAAAAAAAAAAAAAAGTGAAGCTAGTGCAGATCTCTGCTCCTTCTGTTCGGACTCACCCCTCCAAGTTGTATCCCATAGTAATGCCGGGCAGATTTTGAAACATTGAGTTTCCCTTGACAGGATGAAGAAAAGTTGAGTAAATATGCATGAACACTCAAGTTGAGAGTGGAATTAATATCTGACTGGAGAATCAAAATACAGTTTCTCTGCTAGATAGCAGACGAGGACAGATGGCCTTTGAAGGCCCTGCCTGTAATTACCCAAAAAAACCCATTCATTTTCTCTAGCAGCTCATTTTTTTCCTTTAAAACACCAAGTGTTTTTCATGTGTTCAGACCATTCACATGTATAAGACTGATACAATCTGGGATATGAGTAGCAGGTTGATTTCAATTTATTTACATACAATTTAAATTCTGATATAAATTTCTTCATTAGTTACCTTTAGTTGTGTGTGTGTGTATGAAATCTTTTATAAAAAATAAAAAAAAAGTCGTAGGAATAGTTTATTCTGGAATTCTGATGCTGATTAATTTATTAGCTGATGTGTTAAATCTTTCTGTTGATAGTGATTTCTTTTATACTTGAAAGACGGAGAATAAATTAGAAGGAAAAAGATAATCCTTGTTTTCAGGTTCTCTTTCCCTTTGCATAGAAGAAGATAGAAGTGAGAAAAGTGATAATACGGCGATTTGTTTCTGGAAATAGCATTTTCCTTGTAAGAAGGTAGGCATGTGCCCCAGGGGAAGGACTGCAGAGGGCTCGGCAGCAGGACGTGTGTACTGGGGCCGAGGGGCTTCAGAGGAAAGGGAACCGGGCTTCGCGGAGGGACGGAGGGATGCTCTCCGCAGATCCTCGCACAGCGCCGCCTTGTTACCTCCAAATCGAAGCGCCGCAAACAGACTTTTCTTATCGATCATTTATTATAGATTGCTATATGAGAGATACTGTTTGTTTCCATGCCTACAGAGCAACAGCAAAGGATTTCTGACATTCACAAACTATTTTTAAATGACACCTATTCAAGCGTTACCTATTCCATAAATCCTTAATGATTTTTTTTTTTTCCTTAAAAAAAGTGTCATAGTGCTTACAGCTTTTTTTGAATTTGTCCAGGAGGTCTTCCAGTTTTCACCGGAAGGCCCTAAAAAAAAGGTGTCATAACTTTAAATAGAATTTCATAAAGCATCCTAACTTCGGATATAATTCCATACTGTGACCACACAAATCGCCACAGTTCTCCCCAGAAGGCCGGTTTCCAGGCTTATTCGGTTCCCTGCCCTGTCCCTCGCCTGGCCTGGTCAGGGCCTCTCCTCCACCGTCAGGTCACGATGTCTAGGTGTTCCACCCTTCACCTGCTGGGACTCCTAGTGGCCTAGTCACCATCACTCTCACTGGAACTGCTGCTGTCGGACGATCCACTGCTGTCATGCTCTTTGGGGGGCCTGAACCTCCTGCTGGAATGGGGCTTTCTGGAAGCCCAGGAGCCTTTTCTTTGCGGGGTACCCTTACTCCACATGGAGTTATTTTGTCTGTGGGGTCCATAGTGGTTTTCTCCACTGTGTGGTGTAGTCTCCTCATTACTGGGGCCACTATGGGAACCTATTTCGTTTTTAATTTCATTGTCAAGACCATGAGATGGAATGAGCTGCCCCGAACTTTTGCCCGTATCAGGAAATCTTTGCTTTTCACTGGAGCTCACTTGATTCCCATCAGAGTGCTCTGTACCTTTTCTACCACTCCCTTTGCCAGTTTTTGAAATTTCATTATCATTAGTATTTTCAGCAACATCAGTACTGCTCTCTTTTCTTTTCTCTTTTGAGGATGTGTGCGGGTAATGAAACTCTACTTCCCCTTGGTGAGCATTTTGGCTGCCAGCATCCACTCGGTTCCCTTCTTTTCCAGGGAGTTCCCTAAAATTGGTGTGACCTGTGATGTCGTTGCTGCCCCCCACTAGGCTTACATCAGCAGTGTTTGCCTCTTGTGCGGTTTCATCCCTGGTTCCAACGGTATGTCTGCCATTCTCTGCTTTCTCTGGGATGTCATTGTAACCTGGGCCTCCGGCGTCAGGATTAATAGTCTCGGCTTCACTGGGGCCGGGAAACTCTGTTTGAATATCTGCACCCTCTATGTCAGGATCAGTAGCTTCTCCTTTACCAGAAGTGTCCTTAAACGGTTGGCCATCTCCACTGAAAGGAGAGAGATCATTGTCCCCTCTCGCTTGAACATCTAGATAGCCACTGCCTTCAAAATCACTGGGGATGTCTTTGAGTGCGGGTGACTGTTTTAGGTAGTCGGTGTTGTGCCGGATATGATGGGTGGTCTTGCTTTGTAGTGGACTCTGTGGGGCCTGTGGATCTCGTCGATGATTCTTCTTACCCTTTGAGGGGGCTTTAGCATGGTTCCCACTTGCTGGAATTTTGCTTAAGATATTCCTGGGTTTGATCTCTTTGTTTTCTTCCCCCAGGAGTTCGAGCCCAGCTCCTGGCTCCATTATATGTTGCATATTTTTTCTGGTGAGGGCTGCACCAGAGTTTTCTTGGTCATGTAGTTTGCTGAGAACATCATTTCCATCCTCAGACTCCTTATTCCCAGTGGATTCAGGGTAAATGGGCATCTTTAGGTTATTGTGGGCATTTTCTTTGTTACTAATACTATAGGCTTTATTCATGGTCTGTCTATTTTCAAAAAGATTTTGGGATTTACTAATTTGGTTACTTTTATCGACTCCCATAAGGAACAAATCTTTCTCTCTTTCTTGAACAATGGTTTTTTTAGGTGCTGGCTCTTGATTTCTTTTCTTGCCAGAATGGTGAAGACGAATATTGTCTTTGTTGTTTTCTTCCTGCTAAAGTGTAATTTTTAACATAGAGTGATTATTTTATATTAGATTTTTAAAAATATGATAATTCTTAGGAATTATTATAATATATATATAATCTCACAACCATATATTTAATAAAAATTCTATTAACTCAATAGAAGTTTGTTAATAAAGCTAATTCTAGAATGACCAAAGCTGGTTTTATGGAGAAAGAAGAATGAGCAAGGTTGAAGGATGGGTAAGATTCAGATACATAGAAAGGAAGTGGTGAGACTATTTTAAGAATAAGTGGCATAGCCCTGGCCGGCTTGGCTCAGCGGTTAGAGCGTCGGCCTGCGGTCCAGAGAGACCGGGGTTCAGTTCCCGCTAAGGGCACATACCTCGGTTGCAGTTTGTTCCCGGCCCTGGTTGGGTCATGTGGGTGGTAACCACTCGATGTGTCCCTTTCACGTCAATGTTTCTCTCTCTCTCTCTCCCTCCTACTCTATCTGAACAAAATATCGAAAAATGTCCTCGGGTGAGGATAAAAAAAAAAAGAAGTGGCATATTCAAATGTTTGGAAACAGGAAACATTTGAAACATAATATAAATAAAACTATAAGTTTAGAGAAATCTTAAAGAAGAAAATAAGAAATACATTTGGAAATGTAGATGATGAAGGCCTGATTTTGAAGGAGGACAGAGGGTAGTCCTTGTCTTGTGACCTGTGAGTCATTGCAAGGGACACAGAGTTCATATCTTTAAAATCCTTCTCTCTCTCTCTCTCAAAATAGTACTGTTCTACTTGAAGGACCTTCTGTTTTTATACATGTATTTTATTAATTTTAGAAGCAGTGAGGAAATTGTTGAGTCAGCTCACATTTGAATCTCAAGATAAAATTGGTTTATGGATGTGCCCTCTTTTCTTAGGGAGCTGGCTAATATGCAATATACAAAAGTGCCAACTTGTAATATTTTAAAGAGATAATATGCAATGATTTATCTGTGGGAGTTACAACATCATTATTCACTAATCTCTTATTTGGCAATTCTGAAAATAAGATTTTGCAATGAGGAAAAATATAATAGAAAAAACTTCATAGTGAGTTGTTTTTACATAAGTATTTTTAAACATTTGACTTACTTTAAGACATTAAATGTTGGAAAGTTTTACATGGACATTTATATTTCCCTTGGCAATCATATTCATTTGCATATTGCTAATATACTCTTTTGAGTTGAAGCAGGTGCATTAGAAAATCAGTAGATTATAACAATTCCTTTCTTAATTTTTTTCCCTCTGTACTCTGAAATGGGAAGTTTTGTTTCATTTTTGTGCTTTTACTGTGTTCAAAACAGTAGCATAGGTACTACTGAATTGTGTGCATTTTACTAAAGACTGAATAGAGTTCTTTTATAAATGAAAACATAAAACAACTTTTAAATTGTAATTATGTGGTGGTCAATTATTTTCGCATCTGCTCATGTTGGCTGATTGCCAGCTGGTTGTAGTGTTGACTGTGCGATGATCCACGTGTCAGCTGGCTGGTCTGCTTTCCTCTGCTCTGCTTTTCTATCTTTACACCTTCACTTACATCAATCTTTTCGTGAAGAATGGCCTCTCCCACCCACTTGTATGCTCAAATCCTACTCATCCTCCATGACTTAGTTCAATTATTTCCATTATGTAGTTTTCCCTGGACACCAGACTAGGAACTAATCTGTTTCTACTCCAAGCCATAAAGTATACTATTTTGAGTACCACTTATGTAGCATTTTGTACATTCTGTCTTGGGTTAATGATTTTTAAAAGTGCCATTTGTCTCTTTTATAATTCTAACATCCTGGAGAGACAGAGTTGTTTTCTCAGTCATTTCATCTCACCTAGTATCTTGCACAGTATGCAGTGTTCTGTACATATTTGTTATAATAAATAAGTTTAACAGGCAGTTAGTCTTAGAGATGCAGCTAAAGAGTATCGAGCAGCACAAAACAACATTCTGTAAGGGAAACTATGATTTTCATGGGAAATGAAGCCAGATTTGGAAAAATAAGCAGTTCTTTTTGCTGGTGGCCTTTTAAGCTGTGTCTAGCTCTTTGGCCAGTGAATTTGCAAGAAGGGACTGAATGCAATGAATGATTATTCTATTCCAGTGACAAGGCCCTTATTCTTTCTCTTCTGAACATCCTGACACAGATGGTGTCCTCTGTGGAATGAATTTAAAGGACACTAATATGCATCACTCTTTAGGCCAAAATGACTTCTAATCTTCAGCATTAGAACATATAGCAGAATATGTCCAGAAAACCTCCTATGAATTATAACACCAAACATTAATCAGAAGCAATAAAACAAAAAATCTCATGGACTTCCGGGGTCTACCAGTACCACAGCTGCCTCAACAGGCCCTGAAGCAGGGTAGGATTTGGGCCGTGGCATGGGGTGGCCCAGCAGTGTCGGGAAGACTCAGGAAGACAGAGTCCCACATGCCCGGGGAGCCGGGGATGTGGCAAAAAGACAAAGGCACCAGCCGCAGACAGAAACCCCAGAGCAGGAAAAAGTAAACTCTGTTTTCCTTATGGTTCCTCCTGGCATTAGTCCAGAGTTTGAGTCACAATAAAGATCATCACTCAGCTTACCTCTACGTTAGTTTGATTTTTTCTCCCAGGTGATGTGTAAACATACTTGAAAATATAGTACCCATCTTTCTCATGGTGGCCCTTGTATGTTATCTACAAAAATACAACATTAATTAAGATGGGTTTATCTCTCACTGAGAAGTTTCCGGCTCTCTTTTTCATACTACAGATATTTTAAATTTGGGCCAAGTGTAATTCTGCATCTATCAAACGGTAGTACTGCCTATAACCACAGGAGGGCGTGTATCCACCAGCCCCTGAAGATAGCTGCTTGTTCCTTTCTTTCTACATTATCTCTAAAGGAGTTTTCCTTAAGGATGACTATCAACTGCCCCCTCGCCCAGGGTATATCAATTTGATTACCAACTTTCATTGGAAATGGAGCGCTTGGAAATATTTCCAGGTGGGAGAGGCCAGGGGATCAGAAGAAAGGCAATGTTACAGTATGTGTGTCTGATGTCAAATTGGCAAAACTCCCAGCATGAAGATTCAGACTCTTAAATGTGCAGTTTTTGCCTTTGTCATTTTCAACTGAGACAGAGAACAGAGGATTGTTAGTTCTGGGAACAGAATTTTCTGAGACTGCCCGAAGAAACCACGGCAGGCAGAAGTAAGCTGCAATCTGGTGGCTGAAAGGCTGGGGGAACTTGTTTGACTTTCTGGATGCGTATGGGAAAACGGACTCCCCGTAAACAGAACTCCCCACGGAGACTTGGTTATGCTGTTCCCTTTGCTTTCTCCCTCACTATTGCTCTGTTCTCATGTACACGTGTGGGGAAATGGTGTTTGCTAATAACAATATCCCAGAATCTTCACTCACTGAAAATTGTATCCCTGTGAAGGAAGAAATCATATTGAGAAACCTCCATTTAGAATGCTTTTCTCTTTTCCATCACACATTGTAGGAATTAAAGTGCCAAAATTATGCTGTATAACTTTGCATTTCTATTCTAAGTACACATGAATATTTTGACAGTCAAAATTTTCCTCTGACTGAGTCTTTCCTTTACAGAACTGAACTGGATTTATTTGAGAAGAATAATTCTGTTTACCCTCTGTTCTTCCACACAGTCCTGCTTCGTTTTCTCATTCTGTGGTTGAACCATCTGAAAGAAAACAAGAAAGAAAACTTCACCAAACATTCATTCTTTCATTCATTTCTTCAAACAACAAATCTTTCTATTTTTTTCTTTCACTGGGTTATTCTAGTCAATGCGGAAAGCCATCCTGACCAGAAAAGGATGAACACACTGACCACATTGATGTTTGGTTCCGCGTCCCTCCCCCAGAGGGAGACAATGCCATCTCCATCACAGAACCACATTCAGGCTGAGAGAACTGCCAGGCTCGGGAGGGGCGGCACCCTGGTGAAAAAGCAGGGACGCCGCTGGTATCCATTGAAAAGGAGGTTTCGGCTGGAACGCTGGGTGTTGTCTAGTCAGTGCACCAGCATCAGTGCAGGGATGTGGCCCTCGTGTGCATTCATTACATATGGTCAGCAGTTGCTGTGTGAGTTAGGACGCACTGCTGCTGATTATCCTGCAAGAGTAACAGCATCATCTTGCACCTAAGGGGAAGTACCACGCCCAAGGAGGGGACTTTATTATTGCTAGTCACGGGGCAGGTACTTCTTTCAGGGAAAGGAAAACGGGGTGACCTGCAGATTAGGACAAATACTTTTTCTTGATCTGATATGAAAGTGTCAAAAGTATCTTGAGGGTACCTGGGGACAAGAGGTATCTAGTAATGTAGAGAAAGGCCAGAAACTAAAGAGGCATAGACTCAGGCATCTTGTTCCAAGAGTTTAGGCTAAACTTTAGGTGTCACGGGAGAACATGCGGAAGGAGACCTGAGAATCCTGGAGCAAGCTGCCCTGGAAGCCACAGACATACCAATTCTTTTATTCTCAGCATTTTTATTTTCTTATCGCTTTTGAAATTCCTAGGTTATCTCAGGTGTGGCAAGAGGAACCAACATGTAGGACTGGCTTATGTCTGAATGCATGTGCTAAAGTGGAAACAGGCACCATGGTGGCGTCAGTCATGTAAGAGAGAGAAACCCCCAAGGGAAAGAGAATATTGGGCCTGACTATCCACCCAGGCCTAATATTAGGCCTGATTAAACCTTAGAGTCCTGTATTTCCTAGCAATGACATGTGAGCAGTGATCCTGTTTGCTTTCCTGTGATGATTCCCACAAACGACATTTCCTGACCTCCTTTGCCATCTGGGTCCCATCTGGGTTTGGCTGATGGGAGACCTGGTCTGAGACAGAAGGGTAGAAGGAGAAAGAAGCCAAGGTATGTCCTTCCTGCTCTCTCGATTTGGGCTGCTCTAGGATTGGATGCACCTCCCTTGTGCCCCTAGTTCCTGCTGCCCCTCCATCCCCAGGGCACTGGGAACACCACCTCCTTCCTTGTTCCTGCAGCCTGAGGCATGGTAGTGGCTGGCTTCAGTCTTCCTCGTGCCTCATTACCCTTGATTTGCTCTTTCTGCTCATCCTATGCTTCATAATTGTTCTCCAAATAGAGCTCTTTTTACTGAACTCCCTGTAGTGGATTGTTTTTCTGACTGGACTCCAACTGATGAAATCATCTTAGAAATAAACTTAGAATTGTAGTAAAAGTGCTCTATTGGCTGAGCTTCAAGGCAGCTCTGCCTGACATTCCAGTCCATTCTGGTTGGCCAATAAACAGATCAGAGACCAAACTGGTGGTTGCCAGAGGGGAAGGGGAAGGGGGAAAGGCAATATAGGTGAAGGGGGTTAAGAAGTATGAACTTCCAGTTACATAATAAATAAGTCACAGAGAAGTAATGTACCACCCAGGGACTATAGTCAATAATATTGTGATAACTTTTTATGGTGACAGATGGTAACTAGACTTATCATGATGATTGCTTTATAATTCATAAAAAAATTGAATCACTATGTTGTAGACCTGAAACTAATATAATATCGTATGTCAATTATAATTCAACTTTAAAGGGACAGAGTGATACATATTAAAGAAATCATGAAATATAACTTTATAGTCACGGATGGGGATCTACAGCAAAGGGCAGTGTCATGCGTATAGGTGGTGAGAATGTTAAGATGCATAACGCTTGGGGGAGGAAATATGGCAGTATCTATGGAAAAAATACATATTCTTTCCTATTCAATATTTCTATTCTCAGAAATCTATTTTAGAAAATAAAAGTACAAATCATGCCAATAAAAATAAAAGTACAAATTTGTATGAAAAATAGTTTGTCAATGACACTTTATATTTATATAGCACTTTACAGTCTGTAAACTGCTTTTATATAAATACTCTCATCTGGTTCCCATAGTAACCCCTGTGAGAAAAGGGCAGAGACACTGAATGGCCTGCACACACAGTGGTCACCGTTCTACAAGTACGGCAGATATTTTAGCCTAAATCTTCGGCCTCAAAGTCCCAGGGTTAAAATAATAAATTTTTAAATGGCCTGATATATGAAAAAAATATTTAATAATAAGAGGAAATGTTGCTGTAGTTTATATTAAGAACCTTCAGGCATATTTTATCATTTTATCTTTATTACCTTTTAAATGTTGGTTCTTACAATGATCTTGTGCGTATACATGTAGATCATTGTGTCATTTCTCAAATATGTAAAAACAGATCTGGAAATGGGGCTATAGGAAAGAGAAAACATAAAAACTAGATGAGTAGACTCTGATTTAAAAGAGAAATGACTGTTTGGGGTATTTGGCATCTTCTTACAGAACATAACACAAGTGCATGTATTAAAACATATCTGATAGGAGGGAGCACCTTAATATAATTCCCAATAATAAATTATAAAGTTACAACAGAGTAACTTATAACAAAGTCTGATAGTCGAGTCACATATTGATGAATATTAATTAAATTGCATGACCTAATAACCAATCATCTTTTTCTTCCATTTTTAAATTTTGTTTTTGAGGGAAACCAGAACATCGCCCCCTAGTGTGCCTCTTTGAAATAAAAATTATTTTGAGCTGAGGGCAATTAAAAAGTAGTAAGCAGCCCTGGCCGGTTTGGCTCAGCGGTTAGACTGTTGGCCTGTGGTCTGGAAAGACCCAGGTTCGGTTCCCGCTAAGGGCATGTACCTCGGTTGCAATTTGTCCCTGGCCCTGGTTGGGTTGTGTGGGTGGCAACCACTCGATGTGTCCCTTTCACGTCAATGTTTCTCTCTCTTTCTCTCCTTCCCTCCCACTCTATCAGAACAAAAAATGGAAAAATGTCCTCGGGTGAGGATAAAAAAAAAGTAATAAGCAGGAAAAGTTTCTTCTCATCTGCCTAAAGGCAGGAAATAAATTCTCCTTTTACTGGAAACAGACCCTTACCAGTCCAGAGACCACACCGGAAGAATGTGCAAACAAACCTTGTCAAACTAACCCTAATCTCACTGAGGAAGATAAGGACACCCTAGTCCTCGCTGGACTACCCCTAGCCCAAACCTTTTTCTCTTGTCAAACTTTCACAAATTTATTGTTTCTTTGTCTATAAGGTAAAAAATCTCCTGCCCTGGTCACTTCTTCGATTCTTCATTTCTTGTGAAGGCTCCCATGTACATGTAAAAATTCAATAAAGCTCGTATGCTTTTCTTCTGTTGACATATCTCTCTCAGTTTAATTTTCAGACCCATCCAGGGACCCTAGGAGGGTCGAGAAAAATGTTTTCTTCCCCTACAATTTAAATTTGGATTCTAGTTCCAAAGCATATGTAAATGACTCAATATATACCAATTTTTGGTGCCACCAACCTATTATTAAATAATTTAGATGAATGCTTAAATAGAATCTATATATCTGGGAGAAAAACATCATATTTAGCCATTTATCATTCCAAATTTTGTTTCTATGTCTTTGGGGAACCTCTTTCACTTGAAATATGCACCCTTGCCTTCCCCCCATGCTTCCTTGGCAGTTCTCCTGAGCTTGAATGTGGCCCTGTGATGGAGATGGCGTTGTCCCCCTCTGGGGAGGAATGCTGGCACCTGCTTTTGACCAGTGGTCACTGGATTGATGTTGACATAGCACATTTACTGGAAAATGGTTGGAGGGTGCCACTCCAGCTGTCCCTTGGACTGTGTTGCTCAAAATAGATTCATCGTAGGCTGGTGGAATTGAGCTGGGTCAGCAAGACCTACCCGACCTCCATTATGATAGAGCTAAGCCATGTGGATTGGGTCTGACATGTCTATTTTAAGCAGGACAGCCCCCACAGGACTGCTAGAGGCTGTGAGCCGGGAGGGGACACGCTTTCCTCAACTTCCGCCGTCCTCAGCCAATGACAAGGTTCATGCTTGTCAGTGGGTTACCCAACTGGTCACCCACTCACTCAGGACCTATATTTAAGTACTTCTGGCAACAGAGTGACCGCTCGTTTCCTTGGTTCCCCACTGAAAAGGTTACTCTGGGAAGTCAGAATGCTTTCCAGACATTATCTAATTGGCACTGTGTCTGCATTGCAGAAAATATCGGTAACACTCAGCATTTTCACAAGATAATTTAGTCACATCCTGAGGACTCATCTGGGTGAATCAGAGGGAGAAAGAGACACAAAAGGAAACTGGAGCTTGATTTGGGTTAAACCTCACTGATGAAGAGGAAATTATAACCAGAATCTCACAGTGTTCAGGTGCTGCCAGAATTATGGGAAAGTTCTGCTCCCTTTGTGTTACAAAATCTAGTTGTTTAGCCTTAAAATACTCAAGTCATTTTTTCCCCCAGTTTTTAGTAAAATATCGAAAAGTTCTTTTGACATGTTATAGTTGGAGTCTCTGAGCATTTACTCCTTAGCGTTAGCTGATTGGAAACACCGTGGCCGGCTCTTGGTCTTCTGGAGTTTGTTCAAAGGCGGTGTGTGGACATCCTGTGATCCACGCCTGCTCACTGAAGGCGTCCTTGGTGGCAGCCTTTGGTGTCGAGTGCTGGGGGCTTTCTTTTGGCTGCACTAGCACTGAACTAGGTAAGCGTTTCTAATTTGAAAAGACATCGCTTAAGAGAAAAGTAGATAAAGAGAGCAAGAGATTTTATGATGCAGAGCTAAAATCGGAAATGCTTACGGGTGCTGCCCAGGTCAGACTGAAAAGGAGCAGTCCCAAACAGACAGTTTGCATCTTTGAGAGTCTCTGTAAAAAGACAATATAGTTTACCCTACAGCATTGCCAGTTATGAACGGCGACCCTAAAAATAAATACAGCACAAAAGTATATATAAATACCCTTCTCCTAGCAAAACTTTTTAAAGAAAAAACAAAACAAAAACCTACATATAACTTACTTAGACCCAATTGTGGATATTTTAATGAAAGTGCTTTCATATATCTAATTATTCCAATATGAAAATGAAAATCGTCCAATATTGTAAAGGCAATAAAGTCAGTTGTTAGAAATAAATTTTATAAACGTATTTATTTGATCTATTACTAGCCCAAACTTTTCCTTTTTGTCTTTAGAGAGAGATCATTTAATTTATATTTACATAATTTATAATGACATTAAGTTAGTATCGCATCTTATACATACTCTTTAAATGATTTACCAGGGTAGCAGTCTCTGTGGTGAGGAATATAATTCTTTCTGCTACCACGCTGGTGCCCCAATATATGTTCTTATATTCATTAGCAATGTATCTGATCTAGTATCCACCCATAGGCTGAAGAGTGAAACGATGATATAATACTTATATTAATAGTAACATTTATTGAATACTAAACCAAGCACTATTCTAAATTTTTTTCATGTATTTAATTAATTGAGCCTCATAATAACCCTGTCAGTTAGATGGCATTACTAGTCCTGTTTTATAGATTAGGAAATAGATACAGAAAGTCCAATAACTTGCCCCAGAATTCCCAGGTGTTAAGGGGCAGAACTGGGATTAATAGCCTGGCAATGCAGCTAGAGAGCCAGTATTCTTAATCAAAACTTTATGCCACCTGAAATGTTTCTATTCTTTTACTTATTACAGAGAAATCTACATGTAGTTGATTTAAAAGCAAATCATATTTTATATTGGGCTCAACAAAATTAAATTTCAAACATTAACATTTAATGGATGCATGGAACAGAATGACAGATTTCAGGGGGAGTGGGGAGAGGAAGAGATTAATCAAAGAACATATATGCATCTGTGCATTACCCACGGTCACAGACAGTAGTGTGGGGAAGGCCTGGGTGGGGCTGGGCAGAGGGGCAAAGCAGGGAAGCTGGGGACATCTGTAATATATCAACAATAAATTTTTAAAAAATTAACATTTAGCTATGGATAAAAGTACCTGTTTATCCTTTGGGAAATATACTAAGAGGATCTAGTTAGCTCACTGAAGTTAAGTGGCCATTAGAGTGAAAAAAAAAAGTCAACATAACCTTGAATTACTAATCTGTTGGTTTTGATAAACATTAAGTATTTTACTACCACATAGACATATAACAACCAATATCAGAATAAAAACTTATAGTACTCTTTGGGAATATTTGGGCAAAAGGACTTTAAATGGGAAAAATAATCTAAAAATTATTGTAATCTTTAAACATTTCAAGGTTTAAAAAACTTTTAATTGGAGAAATAAATATAACTATTAAATATATTCTAAAATTCTAGGCTATTCTCTTCAAAATGAATACAATTTTAAGAACCTTAATTCTAACTATAATGTAGCCATCTGAGCATTTTAAAGATTAGAACAATACAAGTCACTTATTAAACGACTTGATGCTGAGAAGTATCAGCACCGATGAGGTTGAAAGGATGAATAAGATCCTCATCCGGGTTTATAAGTGAAGGGAAAGAGCAGTATGAGAGCCTTTGAGTTATTGTGGATCTCGATCATGCTGAGAGTCAAATCAAAAAAGAAATTGCCATCAATTTTAATTGATAATTTCTAAAGCTTGGTGATGTACTTTCTGTTTTGTAAAACAAAGCACTAAATATTATACAGTTGTGCTCAGTAGAGAATACCTTCAATTTGCATTTAGTTTCAAAAGTACTCTCTCTACCCGGTTGGCATGCATCCTGAAAATGTACACAATTACATTCTAAAGCTATCGAGAACATCAAGAAAGCCAAATTACCTGGTATCTTTTATCTTCAGAATACCTAGCTTCTTCTGCACGATTAGAAGTTTCTGGGCATTTTGCTGAAATTTAAAGTTTGTTCGAGTTCTCAATGGCCAATCAGCATTGCCTCACTAGCAAAAACAATTTGTTACCAGTGGTCACAGATAACCATAGGGGGTAAAGTAATTTTAATCTAAAAATGTTTCTGTGGTGGAAAGCTGTTATCAAATGTTCCAGAAAGCAGGATAAACAGAAAATATAAATACCTCAGGTTGGTATATCATGTTGTCAGATAATTAAAATTAATTTCAGAACGATTAACTAGGACTGACTGAATAACAAGTTTATAAATGGAAAACATTTTAGCTGTCATTTTATATAGAAAGTTTATCATTTCTATTTTGTAGGAATTAAATTCAGCAATGTTTAATCAAAATATTGAGTGCATGTCGTGTGACAGGTGCTGGGGAAACAGCAGTGAACAGAACAGAAAAGAATCCCTGTCTTCATGGAGTTTATGATCTGGTGGGGAGACAGATAATAAACAGAATAAGTAAGTAAAATGTATGACATTAGCTAGTGACACAGACTTAGTCTAAGAAGAGAAAGCATTGCAGAGAGGCTCTGGGGACACTAGGTTAACATTTTAGAAGGGAGTCCTGGGAGGGCTCATTGAGAGGTGACTTCTGAGTGAAGACCTGCAGACATACGACTCTCCAAGGGAAAAGCATTCTAGGTAGAAGGAAGGGGAAGAGGAAAGCCCAGAGGTAGGAGCCTGCTGGCTTATTCCAGAAATAGAGAACAGGTCAGTTTGGCTGAAGGGACAGACAAGGAGAATAACAGAAACTGAGGTCAGAAAGGCGTCAGATGGCAGATGATAAAGGGCCTAGGGGTCATTGCAAGGCTGTGGCTTCACCCCAAATAAGAAGGAAGCTTTTGGGGGGCTGTGGGCAGAGGAGTAACTGGGGGAGGAATAAGCAGGGCCTGGCTGGGAAGCCCTTTAGGTAATGTGAGGAAGAGCTGACTGGGACTTGAACCAGAGTAGTAGCAGGAGGGATGGGAGAAGTAGTTCCGAATAGATTGAAAGTAAAGCCAATAGAATTTGCTGATGCACAACATGTGGGTCATAAGAGAAAATCAAGAATGAAGGATGACAGCAAGTTTTTGCTTCCAGCAACTGGAAGAATGAAGCTGCCTTTTACTGATATTGGTGAAACTACAGAAGTGGTTTTGAGGAGAAAGATTGAGAGTTTGGATTTGGATATGAATATTATAAAGTGGTCAGTGTAGGACAATTGACTTTCTGAGTAGTTGGACACAGCATACCATATTAGAATAAGGCTTTCTATATGTGAAACATCAATAAAAGATAACATAAGAATTATTTAACCCATACTAAGTAATAAGAACTACCTACAAACACAATTTTAACAGACTGTAAATATCTAATGAGAGTAAGAGTAAACTTGCAATTTCTCCTAACTTCCAACACAGACAAAGAAAAAATAAAACAAATAGGCCTTGGACAGCTTTACCCTCAGGAGAGAATGGTGTCTTGTAGTTCATGCTAATCCCTATTTTTGCTTCATCCAAGTTGTGAGGCGCCTCTTCTGAGTGTCCGGAGCTGGTTTTAGAACACCTGCCAGAACTAAAATTTGAGCCATTGAGCTGGGGCCACTGTTGACCGACAATCATCCCACCGTGGATTTTGCAGCATTTAAACATTGTCATTGACAATGGAAACATTGAACTTTATTAGCCTTGGAGTCAAACTTATCCGAGTTCAAATACTGACTAGCTGTGGTCAGTTGCTTAAGCAACTAAATTGAGCTGCTGTACGCCTCAGTGTCTCCATCTGAAAATGGAAGCAGCACAGTAATAAGCCAAATTTTCATTGAGTGCTCCAAGCATTACTCTACGGGTGGTGCATTAACTCATTTAATGTTTGCAAGAACTAATACCTATACTGTAGGTATTATCACCCTGATTTTAGCAATGAGACATAAAGCAGTTAAGTGACTTGCTTAGGGTCACATATCCAGTAAATATGAAAAACCAGAATTTGTAATTAGGCAATCTGACTCCAAAGTGAGGTTTGAAAACCACAGCACTATACTGTCTCATAAAGTCAGCATAAATGTTAAATTAACAAATGTCTACAAGGTGCTTAGCCCAGTACCTAATTCTAAATTAAATGATAAGTAAATAATAGCTATTCATCCCACCCAGTCTTCCTATCATTAAATAATAATCTGATGTTCAGATGACAGCCTCTGTATCTCTTTTTGTCCATTGTTTTCCTACATGTCTTCTATGTCTTATTTGCTAAGAGGGAAAGAACAATGAAGTAGTGAAAAGATAACAGAGTTGAAGTTTAAGAGCTATTTCTCTAGACATTATAAATAGTAATGACTAGAATTTCAGCAAAGGATTTGGGTGATACAGAAAGAGATTAACAAGGAAGTGGAAATAAAGGAGACAACTATAATACTGACCAGAAAATAAAGCTAAACAGTAGACATATGTGAATACCACAAAAATGCTCATTTTAACATTTCGTTAAGGCAGTGAATAATTTAGAAATGTCTCTAACAGTTAGCAAGTGATGCAGTGTTTTAAGGTTGTACACTGTTCCATAAGATTAACTTTATACTTTTGAATGATCCAGGTAAAGTAGACACCTGGTATGGCTTTATATATAGTACAGCCTTGGAAAATGTTAGTTGATTTTTTCACTGATATTATTTTATAGTTTCAGATATGGCTTTTTCTTTGTTTTTCCTTTTTCCCCAAAGAACTTTTGTGTGTATAAAAAAGATTCCGCCCTTTTTAAGTCATGGGAAGGCATCTAATTCTATCTAGATGAAGCTGTGTCTTATGAAAGAAAATTTTAAGAGAAAACAGTTGATGTAGCTGCTGGTCTTACCATGGTGTAACTAGAGATAGCTAAATATATATGCTCTCAAAGCTAAAATGAATTCAAAGTTTAAAAAAAAATTTCAACTTGAGCCTTAAATTTAGAACCTACAATTGACAAAAGCAAAAGAAAAAAAAAAAAAGAGCCTACTCTGACTGGAAGGTTGCAGAGAAGAAACTCAAGGGAGAAAAACCTGAGAATAATCATTCGTTAAATTTCTGTGAAGAGGTGTTACTTCTGCCTTCTTATAGATTTCTCCTTGGGTTGAGCTTGAGTTCAAAAACTCAGTACAAGTGTTCTAAAGTTTCTGTGTAATAAACAGGTTTGCTGTAATTTCTTACGAACCAAGAAGCAAGAATAAAGATCAGGGTTCTGTAAAAAAAAAAAAAAAAAAAAAAGGTTATCTATCCTCAAACCATCTCAATTTAACTAGAAAACAAAACTGGGAAGCAATATAAAAGGGCAAGAAACGGGCACTTGAACTTGCTTCTGGTTCTTGGTTAACGGTTCAAGTACAGACATCTCCACCCGTGATGCTCTAGCCCTGCTTTCCTGGGCCAGGCTGGCACGTCGAGTTGCTCCTCAGAGATATTTAGATAAAAGTGGTTCATGGAACACGTTTCATTTTGTGGTGGCTTATTCATTTCTTACCCTTAACTTGAGTGAGAACAATCATTTAAAATATTAGCTAACTAGCAACCTACAATACAAGTTTCAGCTATTGGACCCTCATCCGGGAGTAAGGATTTGTGTTTTTGCTTTCTGTTCTCCCCCTCCACCCCCTCCATCTATTTCTGGAACCTCTCACCCATCTCTTCTCTCTTCTATACTTGTGCTCTAAGCCCAGTTGCTTTGATATACATTTTTTTTTTAATTTAGCATTATAGGCAGTCTTTTAATCCTTTGTCCCAACTTGTTTTTGACACTATTAGATAACACATTTCTCTGTATCATCATAGGCAGTTAGACATAAACACATACATGTGTTCTGATATGAAATAACTATCTAATTTACATACACAACCAGTATCCAGCATTTCCCCTTTTGAACCAGTAGGGGAATCTTTACAGTGTTGTGAGTGGAAAAGAGGGGCCCTTGTTGAACAATCTCCTCTTTCCCTTAAAGACCCTGAAAACTTTTTCAAGGTGTTAGACATTCCACTGAAGTATTTATTCCCCATTGATCTCCAATATAGAGTCCAGAATGGGATGTGCTAGAAGTCTGGCCCTACTTTTGCAGAAGAAAATGTTCTGTTTTAAATTTGTTCATTCATAAGTATCAATATTCATTCTAAGTTTTAAAAAGGTCATTTTTTTCTAAAACATCACTTGCAACCAACTTTCTCATCTACCCCAGAATTATTTTTATTTTTAGTTGTCTCTCTCTCTCTCCCTCCCTCTCTCTCTCAGTATTTGGAATTTCAACAGAAGTACATAAAAATTCCAGCCAAATACGGAACCACGAAGTCATAGAACAGCACGAAGCTAGCTAGCTAGCCGTGTTCTTTTCTCTAGGTTCTTTGTTTACTCACCAGCTATTACTAGCAAAGAGAAGACATGTCAACATAATTGGCTTTTATTTTTATATTAGAAAGGTGTCTTATTGCACCTTAAAATGTAACTCAGAGGATGTAGTTAAAATGTAATTATGACACCAACCCTTTCCTTCAGGACATGATGACATTGCTGGAGGTAGCTGCAAAACTTTGTCGTGTGTCCTCAAGGGGGAAGTATCTCTCGTTCTCAAAATAGTCTTTTTCAGAGGCAACTGCTTTGTTTTTCAGAACCAAGAATCTTCTCCTTAGGAACCAAAATATGACTACATGGACCAGCCACTTATTCATTGTATTGGCCACATACTAATGTTTTCTTACCAAATTGGAGCATATCTAAAGTCTTCTAAGTTTTTAGTTTTCAACTTCATGTTCATCTGCACTGTTCTTGTCTTTCAGCTCTTCCGTTATAACTTTCTTACTTTTCATGAACTCAGATTTCCTCTGTGCTTGTCACGTCCTGTTCCAGTAGTCTATTACCATGCAACAAAGTATCTCAAAACTTAGTGGTTTAAAACACCAATTTATTGTTGTGTCTCACTGTTCTATGGTTGACTTAGCTCAGCTGTGAGGTTCTCACTTGGACTCTCTCACTTCAGACATTGAGAGCAGGGCAGGTGTAAAAGTTGTCTGAAGACTTGGCTGGGGGGCACATCCAAGATGGCACCTCGGGGCTTCTCCTGACCTCTGTCTTCAGCAGAAGAGGCTGGGCTTCCCACAGGGGGGCTCAAGACTTAAAATACTCAGTGAGTTAGCAGGTCATTAACTGGATTAGTTGGTCTAAGAATAAAAGCATCTGTGCAAACTACTTCTTTCATGCTCTGTTCTTTCTCAGGGGGCCTCTTCCCTTCTGAGGCCCTTGGTCTGGCCAGGCCTCAGGGGTCGGGTGATACTTACCCGCATTGCAAGGCCGATCTACTTTACTGAGGTCCACCATTCAAATGCTAATCTTATCCAGAACCTCTCTCACAGACACATCATGAAATAATGTTTAATTTGGGCACCCCTTAGCCCAGTCGAGTTGACTCAGTTTACTGTCACGATCCTGGATTTGATGATAACCCATTCTATACAGTATAAGTAATGGTTTATGTTGTGCTGTTTTTACTTAACTATCCTACAATTAGAATCAAGACCAAGCTTTCCCTCATCTGGCTAAAGGTTGAGACTTACCTGATTAGCTCTTTCATAAAATTTCAAAAGATAATTAGTATAGTGAAAAAATTATCCTTAAATATTATTTATCAAAGATAATACTTCTTGAGGTGTTTAGGTCCAGGTACTATAGGAACTCATTTTATTAAGTATTAGTGGAAAGGAGACAACTCATAGATTACTATATCAAACATCAGAAATTTTACTAATTCTTTTATAGAGTTTAAAACAAAGGACCAAGTTTCAAGTTGGAAGAAAAGAAAAGAAAAAAAAAAAGGTAGTGAATTCACTGATAATTTGTTTATATCCTTAGTAATTAAACAGCTAAAATTTTAAATTAATCAGTTCTTCATAGTTATGACTTTATTCCATCACCTAAATCAGAATTTAACAAACTATCGCCTGTGGGCCAAATCTGGCCCATCTCCTGTTTTTTCAAATAAAGTTTTATTGGAATGCAGCCAAGCCCATTTGTTTGCATAATGTGTATGGCTGCTTTTGTTACAATGACAGATTTGAGTAGCTGTGACAGAAACCACATGGCCTGCAAAGCCAAAAGTATTTACTATCTGGTCCTTTAGAGAAAAAATTTGCTGACTTCTGCTTTGCATAGAAAGTTTGATGACCCCTGAGTAAAATTGTGAAGGTTGAATATGTGTTTTAAAAACAGATAAGACAAGTAGTGTACACATTGATGGACCCTGGGTGATGTGAAATATAAGCAAGGAACATCCTGAAAAAGAACAGAATACAATAGAATCTAATTTGCATGGGAACGTTTATTCTTACTTAGACTAACAAATCAAATTAATGAGTGTTTAACCCACTAAATATTTTCAAAATCTAAGGACAGAAAATATTTACAAATATGTGCATTTGGATAAACAAAAAGTCCAAGTGATTGCTTCATGGTTTCCTTTTCATTAGTATTGATTCTTTTTCTAAAAGAGACTCATGTTTCATGACATTAGATTATCCTTTTCAAAAGAGTGTATATTTTTCTGCTTTTCTCTCACTTTCATTATTTCTTCTCCTCATCATTCAGAGTGATTCACTTTGCCTAGAGATGGATTGGGTTTTGTTTTGTTTTAATAAGAGGAATCCAAATGAAATTTGGATTTTTAGTTCTGAAATAGGCCCTTAGAGCTCTCAATAGACACAATCATTTTGAAAGTCAAAGCTTTAGCTTTTCAAAGCTAAAATTTTAAGAGAGGAAAGGGTGATAGGAAATTCACAGGGTCAGCCATGAAAGAAGCAGGGTATAGAATTTATGTCACCTAATAAATTGAAAGGGGGTGAGGGGCTATTCAGTGTTTCCCACAGATTAAATATTACCATCCCTTCCCCAGCTACCAGCTAGGAAGAATGTTGACTGAGGCATCATGTTGAAGGAGATAAGAGGAACTTAAAATGAGGGGATGGGACCTCAGGTGACCACAGAGTCATCTCTGAGAAGCAGCTGCCCTGTGGCCATGCTAATGCCCACAGACCACCCACCCCATGGTGTGGCCTGTGCTGGGAATCCTTTCAGTACACTATTACCTGGTGAGGACCTGCATGCTATGGGTCACCTCGCAGAAGTAATCGTCTTTATGCCCTAAGACTTTTTATAGCTCATCCCAACTCCCCTGTGTGGCCCGCCTCCTGTAGAATGGCCCGAGACTCTCATACGCCTCCCAAGTTTTGGAATCTGGAAGCGGTATGTAGGGGAGGAGCTCTGCTGCACTCCTGACGACCCGACCCGTTTCCATGCAGACACATGGGCAAGGATTGACTGCAGTCCTACCTGGGTCTTGGCAAAGTGCCTTGTGATTCCACCTGGGCAAGGAGGGATAAGTAGCCTGGTGAAGAGAAGCCATAGGCAGTTTCTCATTCACCTGTCTATTTTATGGGACATGATCAGAGGCCATTTCTCACATATCTCCCTAGTTTCACTTATGCATGAAACTTTCAACCTGGCCCCCCTTAGGGTTCAACAGCAGACTTCTCTGTAAGTCTGTCCACTTGGCTAGAGTTGAGAGCTGGCTCCTCAACATCAGAATGTCCTACCACCTGTGCTGCCTGTCATCTGGCCCTTCCAGTTCAGTGTCATCTGTGGGATCAGTGACGCAGGTTGCTGACACCTTACTGACTCTGGTTTTGTTCTCTATGTAAGTAATAGTTTCTTGACTCCATATGAGCTTGTTGTCTCTCTAGTGGCTGAATCAATGGAATTGCGGTGTGCAAACCTTACAGCTGCAGCTGAGATCCTCGTGGCCACTGTGAATCACACTGCCACTCAGGGAATGCTTGATGGCTGGACAAGGGACAAGGTGTTGTCCTAGTGTGACAACAGCACAAAAGGATATTTTTCTTGTTTATTAGCAGTCTCTGTTCTGTATCCACATTACATGAGTCCAAATTCAAAGGAAGAAACCACGAAGGAGAAGATTAACCAATTTGGTTAAATAAAAATTAGTAACTTTGGGGTATTAATAAATAAACTTCAAAGATAACCTCTTTGTGCCTGATAGAGTTTTGTAAGAATTAAATGAATTAGTAATAAAGGAAATGATTATAATAATTGGAAATTTTTGACTATGAATTATATATTAGAAAATATCACATCTATGTTAAATTTATTGAGAAAGAGAACAGTATTGTAGCTATGTAGATGAATTTCTTGTTTTTACACTAAATTTTGAAGTATTTAGGGGTAAAGAGTCATAATGTCATGATGTCTGCAATCACTTTAATCTTTTGGCAAAGAAGTATATACATATATATGAAGACAGGCACACAGAAATAAACAGAGATAACATAAATGTGGCAAAATGTTAGCCCTTGGTAGATCTAGGTGAAAGGTATGATGAGGGTACTCATGTACTAGTCTTCTAACTTTTCTGAAGGGTTGGTATTTTTCCAAATAAAAATGGAGGAGACAATGAGTTGATGTGTGTAATGCCTTACAACTGTTAGCTCTCCAACTAAAATCACTTTGAGGACAGAACTCTGTTTTCATATGCTCAATGTCTAAACATTGTCCTTCTCCATAAGATGTTCAATACATCTTATACATGAATAAATAAAAACATGAATACATTTTTGTCTTCTTGCTTCTGACCACTATCTACTTTCTTCACTACCCATTTAAAATGTGTTTTTAGAGTTAGATTAAAGCATAAATTACAGTTTAGGTTTTGCGTATCAGCCCTCATTGTGTGTGTGTGTGAGTGTGTGTGTGTGTGTGTGTGTGTGTGTGTGCATATGTGTAAGAGTTTTCTACCCTATCCCACTCCCTACCCCACCTAAAACCAAATTAAGTAGGAGTAGAGTTGCAAGATATGACACAGAACATTCAATTAAATTGGAATTTCTGACAAACAATAAATCATTTAGTATAAGTATGATCCAAATATTTCACAAAGGCCAAATATTGTATGGAACATACTTATACTAAAAACGTATTGTTTACCTGCAATTCAAATTTAAAAAGGCATCCTATATTTTTATTTGTTAAATCTGGCAACTCTAATAAATGCCATTTATTTCCCTTGATGTATATGGTTGACCCTGCCCACAAGTATGTCAAAATCTTTGATATTTAGTTTATCTACAAGAAAATATTTATAGTTTCTCTGAATTTTAAACTGTAGTGGAAATAAGCTTTTATCCTTCTGTTGAATTGTATCCCTATTTGTCTCACTTTTTTCCATTCTGAATCTCATTTTTTCCCATATAACACATTTGAAGGATTGCATTTTTATTTGTGATAAAAACCCATAGATAGAATATACATATAGGTCACATAAAAATACATGAGGATGATAATTAAACTATACAGTGTTGAATAGGTAGTGTGATTAAAGAACTACACATTTATTGTATACAATGTCATTAATGTCAATGAATTTCTTCTTAGAAGCACTTTTTTCACAAAAAGTATGTTTTAGCAGTAACAGCAAACATGTTAAAAATACTATTTATAGAACTACAACTTCAAAACATTCCATCGAACTCGATCTCATGGATTGGTTTACCACTTGATAAATGGCCCTGATTTACAATGACCTTTCAATAACATACCAGGGAAAAGCAACATGAAGCCCATTACTTGCAGAAGCAATTATGGAAAATCAGTTAGGAACAGTAGCACCATTCCACATTATAATATACACGTGTGTTATATTGCACCTTCCTGAGTTGAACTTTGAAAACTGTAGCCACATGAAACACCAGAATAGATGAATTCATCCCAGGCTAGGCCTTCACTGGTGGTAGTAGTAATTTTGGCCATCATAGCTATCATAGCTACGCCCTTTATAGTAGCTGTACTCATCCTCATAGGCTCGGTAATTGTCCCCTCGGGGTTCCCCATTCTCATTTTCATAGACTTCATACCCATTGTCATATTCGCTGGTGCCTGTTTGTTCATACTCCCCCTCGTATTCACTGGTGGTGGTTTCCCCCAGCGGTGGGGTGGTGGCCTCATAGACCTCCGGTGGTGGAGTCGTGGGTTCAAACCTGCCATTGTCTTGCTCTCCAGCCACTGTGGTTCCTTCTGCATTGGCATCAGGGACAGTTTCTTCTTCCCCTTCTTCTTCTCCATTGTCTCCGCCGCTGCTGCCATTGCCGTTGTCCACCTCTGTGCTGTTGGTGCTGGTGCCATTTATGCCTTGCCCGTTTTCATCCACTTCTGCTTCGTTCTCTTCGTTTTCTTCCTCTTCCTCTTCTTCTTCTTCATCACTCTCCTCCTTGTTTGTAGCCTTCTTTCCTACATCTCCAGCCTGTAAGGAAAAATTGGAAAGAATCCAAATCTAGGCATTAAAAATGTAAAACTTAAGGTCATTACTTCATCCAACACAGTCTGTATTGACAGCCGTGTTCTAGATGTAATTCTGAATTGGAGCCAATTTTAATTTACAGAAGGATCGGTGGGGACTTTCAAAAGTCAGAATTAGTACCTTTGTGATTGGGTTTTTATTTTTGTTTGTTTTTTTAAAAGATTTAATAAAAATTATTGATTTTAGAGAGAGAGGAAGGGAGTGGGAGAAGGAGATAAAAACATCGATGAGAGAGAACATCAGTTGGCTGCCTCCTGGACACCCCCTAATGGGGATCGGGTCCGTAACCTGGGCATGTGTCCTGACCAGAAATTGAACTGCGACCTTCTTGGTGCACGAGTCAATGCTCAACCACTGAGCCACACTGTCCAGAAAGTGTGATTGTGTTTTGATGGAGAAAAATGTACTTGATAAATAAGCCTTCTCTGTGTGAGATGCTTTCTATAGCTTTGCTACTCACTTTCTGTCTTAGAATCCTCTTCCCTGAAATGTAATGGCATCTTGTAAGACCTTTTATCCATTGCTAAGATGCTTGTCCTTAATCTTCAGTTATAATGTAAAAGTCACTGTGATAACACGGGAAGTGAACTTGCCTGGGAAAAAAAATCTTTGTTTATTTGTAAACTGGAAGACTGTGTCTGCTCTTGCTTTTTCAGTGAGTTATAAAGAAAATAGAGAATACTCTGCATATAGTGTCAGGATACCCTTAGCCTTCGGTAGAAGAATGAGATATATTTAACATTTGGGAGGAATTATTACCTTCTTGGGAAGTTGAATCGCAGCTAGACCTGCATTTTCTGTTCCAGGAGTGGTCTCCTCTCCATAGCCAGGTGTCGTAGCAGAAAGGGTAGAGTTCTCAGCTTCGGATTCTTCATCTTCATTTTCATTAGACTCTTCATTGTTTGCTTCTTCATTTGAAGTCTCCTGGTAGAAATGTCCAGAGCAAGAAAAGTTATTTTAGCCAGAAGATAACTCAAGATTTGTTGGAGCCATGAACCACTGTTGAGAAAAACTTTGTATCTCTCAACCAGCTCATCACCCAGTGTTGATAATTCTGCTTCCTCTTATGCCATCTACACTTCTAACTTCTAAGACCTCAACTCAAAGTTATCACACGCTATTTACCTCACTACAATGCATTTTAGATATTTCTACATTCTAGTTAATTAAAAAATATTTGTGTAATTTCAAGATATCTTACTATATGGTATCACCTCATACAGGACTTACGCTCTTAAAGTCTATCAGTTAAAGTCTTTTTAATTACTTTAATTAAAGTAATTTAATTTAAGTTTCATTAAATTGAAGTTGATTAAAATGGTTTAATTTAAGCAATTAAAATGTAAAGTTGTATTAATAACTACTACAATGTGGTGGTAAATTAATTCTTATATTTGCTCACAAATAAGCTGAGAACTTTATACCTATTTTTTTTAATTCTTTATAGCAGCCCTGTGAGGTAAGATTGTTGCTCTTACTCTTTAGAAAAATAAATTGAACTCAGGAAAGGTAAATAACTTGCTTGAGGTCTCATAGTAAGTGATAAAGCTATACTTTCTAACTCAAAAAGCTCAGCCCTTTGTAAAGTATCACAAAGTTTTTGACGGTGATTGGAATATGTATGAATTGTCCACACTGCACCTAGGATATATTGTTCAAGAGGGATTTTTTTATATTAACCAACTCCTTTTAAACAGATTGACAGTAAGTCTTATTTACTACCAAAAGAAGTGAACACATCTCATTTGCTTTCAAGTTTATTAAAAGAAAAAAGATATATTTAATTCAAAATCCATCTGCCAGTATGTAAGCCAGTTCTGTGCCATATGCAGTATTCAAAAGACGTCAGGAATTTGACACACAATCAATTTTTTTGCGCAATGAGGAAACTCAACACTCCAAGAAATCCTTAGTAATATATTATGCTGTTACATGAATATGTTTTTAAAAAATCACCACTCCTCAAATGACTGCTTACCATAATCTCTTAGCATTTTAGTCTTTCTCCTTTACTCAGTGTTGTTGGGCAATTGTTTGTTAATCAAGTTAATCTCACAAAGTAATTCATAGCTAATACTAAAAATTAGGAATTCATGCATAAAAAATGTATTTACTTTAAATAAGTCCTGGAAACTTTATTTTATTTTGGTGTATTTTTAAAGATACTGTGATGTTAGGATTACTTTAACTAGGGATCCCATATTTGAAGACTTGAAAAGAAACCAGAAAAACCCCTCAGAGTTAGACTGCCTATTATTAAAACAAGTGACTAAAAAAGAATATGTTTGTTTCAGCAAATTTGTAAATTCTACTGTTTCATTGAACTCTTAGGAATACCAGTGTCAACCCCCAAACAGTCTTCAAGCTAATTGTGTTAAATATTCCACAAATACCATACTATTTACTTATCTTTTTATCTTTATGCTTTAGTTCAATAGACTAAATCTTTCAGGGGTAGAGGAGGAACAATCATTAGTGTAAGAGAATATACAAGTTGCATTCTGTACCCTCATTTCACAGGTGAAAATGTGAGGTCCAATGGAATAAGTGACTTGTATGAGGTCAAACAGACAGCAGTTAATTAGTGTCAGGGTCATGAATATAGGCCCAAACTCCCAATTTATACACATCTATATTTTCTCCTATAGCACATGTTCTTTTCCTAGATATTTTATTTAAGGATGTCCTGCTATAATAAGTTAAAAAGGGAAATAGATCAGTCTGCTGTTGATGTCCTCTAGGTTTCAAATATATTATTGGATCGAAAAATTAGCAGTAACTTGTCCTTTAAAAATTGTTATTAACCCACTAGAATGGCTAAAACAACTGAAAGAAACGGTGTTGGTGAGAATGTGGAATACCTCGAACCCTCACACTGACAGTGGGAGTTTACCCTGGTCCATCTGCTTTGGAAAGCTGTGTAGTTGCATCAATTCAGACTGAATGTGTGCATAGCTTTTTGACTTAGAAATCTCACTTCTAGGTAAATTGGCCACCAGAAATGAATGCATGTGTTCACCAGAAAGAACACTAGAATGTTCACAGCAGGACTCTTTGTTATAACCCAAACTTGGAAACTACCAAAATGCCCATAAACAGAAAAATAATACATTATGGTACATTCACATAATGAAATACTAGCAATGAAAATGAATAATTTACAACTATAGAACAATATGGATCAGTCTCTGAAGTTGTGAGTAGAACAGGCCACACATGAGTATATGCTGTGTGATTTCATGTATACATATAATACACGCAAAAAAGATAAAAATAATCGGTTAGGAGTCACAATAGCAGGTGCCCCTGGTGGGGATTGGAATGAAATGAATGGGATGGTGCCCAAAACATGTGCTGCTTTTTGATATGAGTGCTGGTTATACTTGTGTGCTTGATTTCTGAAATTTCAATGATCTGTGTACTTACGATAATTTTGTTATGTGTATTATATATCAATAGAGGTTTTATATTTATTGAGCTTGGATAGTTTAGATGTGGGGAAAAAATGTATGTTTACCAAATAGAAAATATGCCTAAGCACCTTATCATGTGGATACAATTCCTGGGGACTCTGTGTTTAATCTGAATTGCTAATAAACTTTTAGGGAAGAAATGGGCCACAGTGAGGGGCTTGGGGGGGAGCTTATAGAATCTCTTTAGAATGGACGACTCCAAGGTTTGTTCATCCACTTTTCCATAATCATTTTTAATAAATGATCTTTGGAGCATTTATTCCTCTGAAGGTTCAAAACCAAACCAAAAAATATGTACTGTGCGCCATATCCATATCAGAAACTGTGCTACTCATGAGGAGATACAGAAGAGAGTACAGCACTGTCCTCCCTAAAGAGGAATGAAGCCTATAGTCTTTATGTTTCCTGGGTCATGAGGAGTTTGAAGATAACTTCTTGGAGGACCTTAAATGTTCAGAGATTGTTGGCAAAATTTTGAGTGTGTGTGATTTCATCAGAGTCCCAAAGGAGTCCTATTCTTCCTCCATCCCCAGACACCATCACAATTGAAGAGCCGTTGCCAAAAGGGATGCAGTTCGACAGCAATCTAGCTGCATGGCAACCTTACAGTCACTGTACAGCAAACAGCTGTAGTAAGTGGACTGCCCTACCTTAGTCCTTGTGCAAGGTTACTATGTGGAACTGCAGGCAAAAATCTGAGGGATTTAGCAGGTGCATTTTTCCTGGTACTGGCTTGGTACTTCTTTCTGTTAGGGCCTTTTTTAAAGCTACTAGGGTAAATTATTGTACTGGAAATGTTAATTTTACACTTTAAAAAAAATGAAACTAATTATTTGTCATTTTAAAGTTCTCACACTGTTTTGTTTTCAAGATAACAGACATTTATTCATGATCCATTTTTGACTGTCATTGTCCATTCACAAATAGCACCTATGAACACCTGAATTTAGAAGGTTCCCAAACCAGTGCTTGCTATAATTGACAATCCAGGAAAATGTACCTAATTAGTACGTTTCCTTGGGCAAGAGTGTCAGTTATAAACATGTTAGCACAATTTCCGAGATATAGAGATGGATTTTAGCCATGAGTACACTGATTTGTAGTAGTATATCAGAAGATATTTTTACATCTTGAGTATTTGCATTTCTGTAAGAATGTGAATTTTATCATTAGACAAAAAAGACATAAAATTCCTATTAAAAAGAACAACCCTAGTTTGGTGGGTCAAGAAAGGCAGATGAATCACAATCGCACTATAAAAGATAAAGATTAGTTTTTATATACTGTTCACTTAATACATTAAGTTTTTTAAGTTTAGTCATTAAAATAAGCATTTCACTGAATTTAGAACTATTATATACTTGTACTTGTTTTTTACCATTATGTTCTACCCACTTAAATGTAAATAATACTTTCCTTTTTGTCCAAATCCATACTTCTTCCACTTAAAATGGAGACACTTTTGGTTTTGTGTACCACTTATAGGAAACTTTAACCCCAAACTGCAATAGTGTTTTAAACAGGTAATTTTAGTTGATTCTAGTTTAAATAACATTTTGTTTAAAATAGAGGGCTGTGGGCAGTTGGTAAGCTGGTAATGGCTGTTTGCAGAGTCCCTACTACGGTAAACGAGCTTCCTATTTGTTTTTGTGCTGCCTGGTTTGTTATGAAAACACCTGCAGAAACTTCTTACCTCTTCCTCTTCCTCCTCTTCTGAGCTATCACCATCTCCATTTTCTTCAGATGAGTCACTGCTCTAAAATAGTATACACATGAATTCAGACACATGCGAATATATATTTAGATTTACATTTATTTACTTAAACAGTTCTCATGCTAATGTAAGAAAGATATGAAGAGGACTGGGCACATATAAAATGAGGTTAGAGAGAAAAGGCCATTTTACAATGATCAAGATATGTATGAGCGACTCCATTTTTAACCCCAAAGCATAGACAATATGTTAAAACACTTTGTAGGTAAGAGCTAGAGCAATAAATCACAAGATTGCTTAGCTCTGAGGACCAAGAGGATTATCTGCTCCGATTTCTCTGTTTTACAGAGAAGGAATCTGAAGCCCAGAAAGGTTGTGTGACTTCACGCAGTTCAAGGCAAATCTTGAGCTATGCATAGATCACATTGTTTTGTTTTGTTTTCTTTCTAAACTATGAATAAAATGATGATTAGGCTTATTTCAAAATGATTGCTACTCGGTGATTCTCTTAAACATTGAGTTCTCTAGGAATTTATCCGAAGAAACGTGAAACACTAATTTGAAAGACTATATTCACCCCTCTGTTCATAGCAGCACTATTTACAGTAGCCAAGATTTGGAAGCAGCCCAAGTGTCCATCAGTAGAGGAGTGGATAAAAAAGCTGTGGTACATATACACAATGGAATACAATTTGGCCATAAAAAGGACGAAAATTTTACCCTTTGCATGGATGGACCTGGAGAACATTATGCTGAGTGAGATAATCCAGTCAGAGAAAGACAAGTACCCTATGATTTCACTAAGATGTAAAATGTAATGAATAAACTGAACTACCTAGCAAAATAGAAACAGACTCATAAATAGGGGGCAGTCAGACAGCTTGAGGTGGTGGGGGAGTTCGGGCAGGGGTGGAGGGATTGAGCAAAAAGAGAGAACTCGTGGACATGGACAATAGTGGGTGATTGCAGGGCCGGAGGGGGCTGGGTGGAGGAGGAACAGGGCACAGAGGGGATAAATGGTGATGGAAAAAATAAAATGAAATAAATAAAAGCAGAAATTTTTTTTAAAAAGAAAATAAAAAAAGACTCATGAACACAGTCAACAGTACCCAGAGGAAAGGGAGGGTGGGGGGAGGTAGAAGAAGGTAAAGGGGGGATAAATGGTGATGGAAACTTGACTTGGGGTGGTGAGCACACTATACAATATACAGATGATGCATTGTAGAATTGTGCACCTAAAACCTGTATAATTTAATTAACCAATGCCACCCCAATAAATTCAATAAACTGTAGAAAGAATAAAAATAAAAAATAAATTTAACAAATTAGAATTTGACTTGAACTTAAATTTGTATATAATTTTAATATCTTTTGATCTAAAACTAATATCTAAAATTTTAATATATAGACAAAGATGGACAAAAGTAGGCTCACAATTGTAATACAAATAAATAATATAATAATACAAGAATAATCTTGGGCATACTCACAATTGTAAACCTACTTTTGCCAACCCTATATATTAAAAGTTATTTAAGAGAAAATTAATTCATTTACTCATTTAAGAGAGTTTAGAGTACCATTCTCTATAGAGCTCAATATTGAATGAGAATAAATTAAACCAAGGCATCTGTTATAAAAATGTAATTATAAGTTAATGAACTTTGCTACTTTTTAAAAGAAAACGTAAATCTAAATTTTTGCTTTCAGAGCCTTTAAGACAGTAGAGGAGAGTCTTCATCTTCCTCCCAGTTTTAATTCAAATTGAATTTTCCTTCTTTTTCTGCTACCACTCTTAATGCAACAGGTATACAAATGGATACCCAACTTATGATTCTGTCATTTTCTACTTTGCAATTGTTAACTTCGATTCTAACTCAATTAAATTCCATGGGTCTTAGAAAATATAGCTGTAGAAGAACCTGTAGGTCAGAAATCAGGTTTTAGGGAACAGTCACAATCCAGCCCCCCTCAGGGCCATCCCCGCTGGGCTCATTCTTCAGGTGGCCACACCTTCCACCCAAGGAAAGGGAATGCTTGTCCCCTTGAGCCAAGAATAACCTTGGGTGGAAAAGAGAATAATTAGACCTGTTCTTCCACTGCCATGACCTTAATGGGTATGCTTTCCCTAGCCCAGAGAGTAAATAATGACCTAATATTTGAACTATTTTTATTTGTTAGTTAAATTATATAGAGAGGACAGCATATTTTCCTCGGTGGGAGTGTTTCATCATTTCTCAGACTTTCTCACATCTAGCTTCCGTTCTACTCTTCAATTAATACTGCAGTGAGAACAAGGTTAAAACTGCATGTAATGCCTTGAAGTCCTGGCTTTTTCTTCTTTTCCTTCCTTTCATTTATGCCTCATTACCAATTTGTCACTGAGTCCTATAGATTTTCCAAAAGTCATATATAATTTTTTAAACCATTACTCCTTCTAACTTCTATCACTTTATCTCTTCGATCTCCCAAATACACACCCCAGGCATTGTACTGAGAATGAGGGTCATAGCAAGAGATGAGGTTGGAAATATGAACAGTTTTCCTGTATCAAGCACTGTGATAGCTGAGATGAGTTCAATAAAAGAAATATAAGATAATGTTCTTGCCCTCTAAGAGTTCACACACTAATCAAATATCATATGAATGATAAAAAAGCAATTTCCTCAATTAAAATGCTTACGATGTGACATTATTTATACTTCCATTTCTATAGCCACACAAATAGATAAGCTATGGTAGACTGTTGATAGGTTTGAAATCAATATAGTATATTTCATGCAAGTTGGTATTTTAGAAATAATTACATGTAAACACAGATTTGTTTAACTACAACATGAATTTTAAAGCCAATACAGCTGAAACCATTTTGAGGTGAAATTTAGGCACTAAATGCTTAATAGACTTAAGAAAATAAATAATAAAGAACTATAAAAAAAAATTATAAGTAAATATGTAAAAAAAAAAGTCCTGAAAATCAAACTTAGCAAAATAGAAAAATATGTCATAAATACTGGGTCAGACTGTTAGATCGGGAGAGATATTTTATTGGATTCTTCTTTAAAACAACTATCTTACTTACACATTCTTAATTAATTGAGATGGACTTACACATGATTTGTGGAAATTTTGTGTACTTAAAGATGTACGAACTTTGAGTCTATCAATGAAAAATAAAACATCTCCTAATATCATTTTACTATGGATATTTTAATTGGACCACAGACATATATATCTACAAAATTTTCTAGGTGGGAATATCTTTTAAGTACCTGATATTTTAGAAAAGTTGAGGAGCTAGTCAGAAAGTTAAATTTATTATCATTTCCATTTTATTTAAGAAAAAAACAAAGCAAACTTTCAAATGAGCAATGTTTATTTATGGGCCTGAGGTGAACCAAAGAATGGAAGACAGTTCTGAAAACCCACAGCTCTTGTATCATTTGTGCTCATATTTCTTTGGCCACACACATTCCCCATAATTGTTATGATGCTAGAAATACTTTAAAATTATCATTTCCTATCATTGTATGAGTTAGAGATGGGTTAGCCCAACATATGGTAGAATGCTATGCCAAGCCACTGTGCTGAGACATCGTTTTAGGTATCTTGACTGCTTTTAGTGCCTCGGGAGTCCTAGGTCAAATGGTGTGTAATTGGTACCCTGAACCCAAACTGTATAGGAATAAAAATAGTGCAATTCTGGTTTGTTGTATATTTAAAGTCAACACCACACCCTTCAGTTTTCAAAGGCTCTCTTCACAGGTAACACACTAAAAACAGAAACTCTTATTTTTAGTTTAGTTATTTTCCTTTTTGTTTTCAAATTTTAAGAATGTTTATTTTTCTCATAAGCATGTTGGTTTACTTCATGAATTTCTCTCTTCCTCTGCAGTTCTTGAGCCAAAGTAATAATTACGCTCTGATGTTGACATATTTATTGCTCTAGTGATCCACACAAGTCAAAGGTTAAAAAATCTTCAGCAATCCCCACTGATTATCAAGAATTTCTTTTCAAATGGTCTCTACTGTTTACAAAGTCAATTTTTTTCTACCAATTAAAGAAATCTAAAATTATTGGCTATAAAACAACTGTATGAAAGTACTGAATCAACTATAACATGATGATTAGTGGCCTTACCATTGACTTAATTGTCAGCAACTGGTAAAGTTGTCCACTGTAGTCAGGGAGTTAGGAAAAATACCTGAATTCAGTGTGCCAAGGTATTTGCTTTTATTATATTCTAGACTGGACCCAAGATGATGTTACTCTGTGTGGTGTATCTCTGTGGTGTTTTATGTTAAAAACAAACTTTTTTGTAGTAAATTGATCTTCCTGGCTGAATTTCAGTGAGAGCTTAATTTAGCGTTTCATAGTCAAATTTGATTGTCTTTCAGTTGCAATGGGTGAAAAGACAAATTAATTTTTATACTTACCTGAACTGGAAATCGTTTTAGAGGAGGATAGAAGTAGGCATGCTTATAAAGATAATACCGAGGTCTGTACTTAAAAACCTGCATAAACAAAATAAATGATATATTCATGTTTAATGTGCAAATACATCCAGAGTAAGGGTAGTCAGGCCAAGGAAGTATGTTAAAATTAATTACCCCATTTTCTTCAGAATCCTCCAATTTAGCTCGGCGGTGAAAATTTTTCATCTGTTTAAAAAATATTTAATTAATACATTTTCTCTCTCTGACATAAAAATGCAAAAACAGAAATAAATACAGGTTTTTGATAAAGAACTTACTGAGAAAGCACAGGCCATTCCCAAAATGCTGAGCAAAATTAAAGCAGTCTTCATTTTGGTGATTGCTTCTGGAATTAATGAAGTAGTAAAGTTAATAAATATTAAAGCTGGAAGTATAATCTGTTTTGCCTATACTAGGCAATGAAGTATTTAATTTCTTTTTATGTCTGCTCAATTATAGTTTTGAGTAATTAAAATTGTTCCTTTTATTTAAGTGATAGAAGACTGACTTTACCTTCCTGTTTAAATAATCTCGAGTTCCATGTTTGACCTTAACCCATCTGCTCTGATCTGTCACGAGAAGACCTTTCATCACTGACAAGGGCAAGAATGCTTAGCATACTTCACACTGGGGCTAGGGGGCCTCCTAATGTCACTGACATAGGACTATCAGCCAGGTGAATTGAATTATTAGTGTGGTTATGGGATCTGTTTCTCTCTTTTATAATTAAAAACTAAGCAAAAATTAAATATATTTAAATGATTGTTTTTATGCCAGTGATCCTACAGGCGTTTCCAACTTCTATGTAGCTTTTGAACTAAAAGGTCATTTGTAAAATGGAGAATAGGCACCATTTTCCTATGAATATCCTAGAATACAGGTATTTTTTTTTATTTGTGTGATGTGGATCCATAATATGTGAAATATTCTCCTCATAGCATGTTGCACCATCAGCCATATATCTAAGGATGATTCTATGGGAAGAGTTCATCAGAGTTTCACCTTGAAATATCAGGGACAAATTCCCTCAAGTTAGGTTTTTCTCCAGCTCCATTTAAGCTTTCCATCACTCGTGTGGGAGACTGTCATGGGATAGATCGGGGGCCCTCCAGGGTCAGGGAAGAACTATGATGCAACTCTCAGAGTGGGAATAGTTCCTAAACAGTCTTGGTGTATGTAGTCATGCAAAGAGCTCAGTTCCACATGGATTCCTCATAAACAAAGGGAGAAGGATTGTGAAATTCTGTCTTAATTTTATTTTATTTGATAAAATCCACTTTAATAGAGTTTGTATCAACTTAGCTGACAGCCTGCTAACACCCACCCACTTGCACTGACATACACACTTAACTGAGTCCTTCCTCCATCAGAGTCACTGCTTTGGCTGTATTTTAGAAGCAATATGTAATGGTGATGACAATTTCCCCTTAAACATTCTTGGAAAAATAATATTCAAAATGTCTAAAACCCATGTATATACTGTTCCCTAAAGGTTGATTTTGCACTGTGTCATCATTCACCAAGATTTACTGCCTCCTTACTGAGTATCTGACACTAAACTCAATGTTACATAATGTAAAGCGTGAGACCACGAAGCTGCCGGGTTCTAAGTCACACTCGATTTGTGGCAGAGTGGGTCTTTTGATTTTGATGCCTACACACTTCATCACAGTCCTCCCTACTTTAGTAAAAGTTCTTGATGGTCACACTGGGATAAAGAAGTTTTGCCCCGGAAGGGGGCTTATCTGCTTAAGAAGCTTTTGTGGAGCTTGGGGTGTTCTGAATAACACTTTGAATTTTGCCAGCTATAATTGAGCCCACCCGTGCACAGGAAGATTGTTGCTCTGCAGCTTTATGGAAAAGAGTTGGGATATGTTAAAGAACTAAAAACTTAAATACATAGAACTATAGCAGGTGTTTTTATAACATAAATTTCTTATAGTAAACTATAAAAACAACTAGATAAAAACATAACAGAGGTAATATAAAAAGAACCAAGTGGTTCAGGTAGGCTGCCTACATAAATCTCATTTTATTTACTTCATGATTCAGCAAAAGCAAAGACCTCTATATTGACCATAATAACCCAGACTATAATTTAAATATTCTCAAAGAATAGTTTTGCTGCTCTAATTACAAGTTTCTATTTGGAAAAGTATGATAAACTACCAATATTATTTATTTCTCTCATATTATATATTTTTTCATACTGATTTCAGAGCTATAGTATACTAACACTTTGAAACAGAATGTATAACATAGTAAAAAGATACTGTATATAATAGAAATACTAATTAGGCATAATTTATGGAGAGATCTGCATATATTGAGGCAGATTTGCAAATGCAAAATGGTATTTCACTCAGGTTATCTTGACTGCCTCAGACTGAGGAAATAAACAGTTATCTATGAGATGCAGAGATAGAAAGTAGGAAGCATAATTTTCTAATTTATGTGCATAATATTAAGAACTCAAATGCATAGGTAATAAGCTTAGCCTCTTGGAAAGAATCTAAAATCTAAGGTACTAGTTTAAAGGTAAACAAATATTAAATTACATAGCCATTTTATACAGTGCAATGATACCAACATTTAAATAAAAAAATTTAAAGCCAAGTCCAGAGATGTAAAATGTGGAGTGTCTGATTTTAAGATAATAAAGTTGTCATATTAAATCTTACCCGTTTGCTGTCCTGGAATGAGGAGGCAGGCTCAGAAGAGTGAGTGACACAGATTGAGTATTTCCTCTGCTCTCTCACTCACTCATTCACTTGCTTTTGCTGGCTATAAACTCTTCTTTGCCTTCCAGCAGCCAATCACTGTCATGGTCAAGGTGATGTCAGAATGTGGATTCTCACCAGAAAACCCCCAAACATCAACACTGTTTCAAGACAGGCTCAGTTGAATAAACATGAAACAGTTCTAGTGCCAAGAAGTTTGCATTGTGGAATTTAATTGAAGGTTTAGATGAAGATGAATAGTTTGTATTCTGAATATATATAATACACTGGATTTGAATGAAAAATAAATAGAAGATTTAACCATTTTAAAATGTCATAATTATACAAGTGTTTACTATGTTGAAAGGAATAAAACCTTACTGTCACCAAATACAGTGCTACATTACTATAAACTAAATCATAAGGAGCTAAATAATAATTAATAATTAATACCAACTATATTATATTTTTACTAAAATATGCTTCCGTGCCTCATAAGGTAAAATTAATATAATTAATCTTATTAATTTTTAAGATATATTTGCTAAAATGTATCACTGAGTATAAAAGTTAGGACTTTTGAGGATCATGCTACTGATAGAAAGGTGTCATTTTTTTGTTTTGTAAAATAAATCTCTTTAGATTAGTTATTCATATGATCCTTTCTTGTTGCAGAAGTGATATCACCTCATTTTATATTCTTGGGCTTCTGAATACCTCTTTTCTGTTCATTTTCATATTTAATGTTTTCTTTATGTATATGGAAAAATAGTATTATAGCTGGTAAGTGTGATCCATTGTTATTGAAATGATTCATGAAAACCAAACCCACAAGGGACTGATTGATAAACTAAAGTGCTAAGTTTTATAATTTGCAAAGAGAAATTTAGAATATACAAGATATTCTCCTTGTCCAGTAATTTTATTCTTTCCTGAGTAATTTTATTCTACTTAAGAAATGAAAAATTAATAAATATCTTTTATTTTTTCATCCTCACCTAAGGACATGCTGAGAGAGAGAGAGAGAGATCAATGTGAGAGAGAAACACTGATGTGTTGCCTTCCATACGGGTCCTGACCAGGGATTAAACCCAAAACCTAGGTATGTGCCCTGACCGGGAATTGAACCAGCAACCTTTCAGTGCACAGGACAACACTCATCCAACTGAGTCACTCCAACTGGACATAAAATATCATTTTTAAGAGTGTGTGCCAGAAAGGGATTAGATGTGTCACCAGAAAGGGATCGGGATGAGGCAGACTGCCCCGGCACAGCCTGGAATGTGGGGGTTCTTGACTTCGTGCAGGAAAACTTTCAAGATATACGTCAAGGTGACTTTGAGAGCACGTTAATTAAAGCTGGAGGCAGTGAAAAAAAGGAAGGTTTAATATAAAAAAGGCAAGATCACAGCAATCGGAGTGAGCCTAGGTGGAGCTCTCTGGGCTTTTTTTTCTTCTTTTAATCCTCACCTGAGCATATGCTTATTGATTTTGGAGTGAAGGGAAGGGAGAAACATCAAGTAAGAGAGAACACTGGTTGGCCACCCTCTGTATGTGCCCTAATTGGATATCAAATCTGAAACCGTTATGTGCCCTGACTGGGACATATAACTCAACCTGTTGATATACAGGACCATGCTCCAACCAACTGAGGCACACTGACCAGGGCATGCCTTGGCTCTTTTAGAATGAAAGTCACAGAGGCAGAAGAAGTGAGCCATTCTAGGCTGCATGGACTCAGTAAACAAGTTACAGAGGTAAAACAAAGGCCCTTGGAGACAGGTTTAGTGGGTTAGCCCTGGACAAGCTGCTGCTACCCTCTGCTTCCCTAGGTGCGAGTCTCCTGGGAACCCTTAGAGCTTAGGAGAAAGAAAGCAAAAAAGGAGGAGCACAGGCATGCTCAAGGGAGAGCAGCCTTTGTCTAAAGGGTTTTTATCTGTTTTCTACAAGCAGGAGTTTTAGAGGAGGTCCTAGGGCAGGGTCTTAGTAGAATAGTCATCAGCTTTCCAGGTGTGTCCTTTAATATACTGATAAATCAAAAGGAACATGGGGTGGGGGGTGGGGGGATCATTTTCCGGTCAGCTTTTATCTTGGATTTGTTTGGCTCTAATTGGTTTTTGTGTTATTTAGTCCCCTGATTTCATCCATTCTGGGGTTTGGCTGGCACTATTGGCACCAGCTGGGTCTCTGTTATCTGTCTTCCTTACTAGGGTGATTTAAGCTACTCACTCTCTGATTTGAGAAGAGAGATGTAAACCATTTGCTCCTAAGTGTCCTTGGTTAGGGAAGATAAAATTTTGCAATTTATTAGCTGACTATTAGTTGGTCGACCGTTTATTCAACTATCTGTCTCAATTTCCCCATTTCACTTGCCAAGGAATTTCCTAGCGTCTTACTAACCTGCCACAGATGATTTTGAATAAATCACATTTTATTTCAGAAAAGCTGCCTGGAAAATATAGATTCATAAAAAGGGAATTTAGATAGACCCTTTCAATTTAATTCAACCCCATCAATTTAGGTCAGTTTAACAAACTTTAAATTATTAAGCTTTCCATTTATTGTCTTGAACCAGAGCACTGGAAAACCAATGTACCAGGACATAGAGAGCC